CAGTACAATAAATAAAGTTTTTTCCCCTATACAATGTAGTACAATATTAAGTGAAAATGAACAAATGAACTGTTTGCAACCCTAAGGATGAATCTTATATAATGTATAAAAGAGATAAGACAAAATAACACATTGTGTATACTCCATTCACATAATATTTAAAAGTAAACCAAATAATATATTTAGAGATATGTATATATGTATTAAACCTATAAAGAAAATCCAGAAAGTTTTGTCATCACAGAGGTAGGATAGTATTTCCTGGAGAGGGGAGAAGAGAGAGTTGTGTGATTGAGGGAGATCTATAGGTTCTGGTTCTAGTCTGTTTTGATTTGGTTAGAATTACTAGTATTCATTTCATAATTGTTGAGTTTAATAAATTTTGACGCCCTTTTCTCTGAATTTTTCAGTTTAAAAAAATTAAGTGTTTTTATGCATTTTCGAAGTGTCTAGGAAGAATACAAAGTATCTTTCAAAATTAGCAATGATTATTAAAAATGAGGAAAAGGAGAACTTTCCTTATATAAAAAAATTCTATTTAGTTTAAGTTCCTTGGAACTTAAAACATGTTATTCCTTTATTTTACAAGTAGTCCTGTCTTGTGCTAGATCTGATTATCCATTCATGCAGTATTTATGGAGCATTTACTGCTCATTGCTTGACAGAAATGAGATTTAAGGTGGGTGATGATATTATAGATTGATTAATTAGCTTCTTGTGCATTTAAAAAAACATGCATATATACCTTTTGAGTACTTTTAATTCCATAGTTTTGCTTCTAAGTATTGTGATTCTATTTGTTTGGAATGGAATTTGACAGTTATAAAATTGAGCATACATTAAAGAACATTTCAGTTCTTTGTAGGCAGTAAAAACACAATCTTGTCAGGTGTGGACAGTATAGACTTCTGAGTCTAAAACTTTGTAGCATATCTCAAAATTCCAGAAAATGCCAGCCCCCTGGGATTTTTATCAGTTCTTATTTCAGACTTTGTGTAGTTTAAATATTTAAACGTATTTACAGTGAAAAAATGAATACTAGATTTCTTTATTAAAAAACAAGGTTATGGTAACGTGTGTGATTGTATATATATGTATTTGTTTATATATATTTGTATATATGTGTGTATATATAATTTCCATGGAGAATAAGCATATCTAAAAGTTTAAATACATTATTTTTTGCTGATAAGAGCATGTAAGCTAAACTATTTAAAATTGGCCACCTTTAGGCTGGGTAATGGACATTGGGGAGGGTATGTGCTATGGTGAGTGCTATGAATTGTGTAAGACTGATGAATCACAGACCTGTACCCCTGAAACAAATAATACATTATATGGTAATTAAAATACATATTAAAAAAATAAAATTGGCCACCTTTAATTCACAATCCATTTTGAAATATGTTTGCTTTTTAAGTTTATTGTATAAAAGACTTGGATATTCTTAGGGAAAAAAGACTAAAACCTCTATTTTATACCGTAGGTTAAAGTATGCAGAAAGTACCTGACCGAATTGGCCCCAAATATAAAAAGAAGAGCCATTAAAATCATAATACAGTTTAACTTTATTGTGAGAAGTAGAAATGTTTCTTTTTTAAGGGTGCTTAGGTGACCCTCCAAAAATAAAATTTCTGTCTTTTATAGAAATGCACTGATGAAAATTGTGGCTGCATTCATTTTAGGATTTCATTTAACTAATCTTTGAAGTTGGAATCATTAAACGTGTTTGGAACACTGGTACAAAAGAACATAGAACAGGCTGTATCGAGTTAGCTTAAATTAATAACTTAATTATTTAAGAAAAGCAACTTCAATCAACTTACATGATACATACCCCTGAAACTGAAAGTGTTTTGGCACAATTGAATTTTCCCCTTAAGTTTGCCATAATGTCACTGAAAACTGTCAATTGCATGTACAAGAGTAAAGTACTTTTGAAGTACCGTTTACTTCAGAATGGAACATTATAATCATGGGTAATAGCCATAGACTGTGCACCGTGCTGGTACCCTTAATGAATGCACTTAAAAGCAGATTCCTCAAAATGGTAGCCTTTCAGATTGTGTTTTCTTCATTGAGCAAGTGTTTTTATTGTGGGTAACTTGAAGCATGTGAAAAAACTGAAGCTAGCCTGTTTCTTATATGCCTCACCTAGCCTTGTTAATAGATTACAGCATTCCATTTGTTAGTACCTGTGACACAGGAGAAACTTTTACTATTAAGCTATGTGGTAATGATAAAGATGACAGAAAAAGTCTTTTTATGGTAGTTGGTCCTCACAACAACTCTTCGTGTTCTGGTGATAAGACACAAGTTGGATATCCAGTAGAGGTACATGAGCCTTTTATCTCCAGAGCTGATAGAGCCTCTTAAATTCCCTCACAATGACAGGAACCCCATCTGAAGTGAAGGCTTGCAGAGCTGGAGATACCAGAGCACTATTCTTCCTCATGAGTACAAGTAGGGTTAACCCTATTGTTGTAGAATAAAAATTTTGTGTAATTACTTAAAAAGGCCATATTCTTTTTCTTCAGTAATTTAAAAGGACTTCAAAGAGGCACATACTTGGTGGTTGCTGTTAGTGAAGAGCACAACTGTGAATTTCCTAGTCTTAAGATACATGAATATGATGGGAAAATATCTAGAGACTTCAGGCTAGAATAAGTCAAGTTCATGATGAAATCTTTGTGTAGGCACTTAACTATATTTGTTTTGTTTCTAGGGCTGTTTAGGTTATAAGAGTTCATTGTGTTCCAATATTCTGAGTGTTAACATCTTCATTGCTGATAGCAACTTTCAGAGCTTTGGCAAGCAGAACTTGCTACTGTGAACGGGGGAGAATACATGTCTCCATCCCTTAGTTCTAAATAACAGGACCTTTTATGGCTAAGTACGCATAAAAGTTCATGTGATTAGTTAGATCCATAGAACGTAGGGCCATGGGGCCAATGTTGGGGAGGTACATGTAGTGTTTGCTCTATGCTTATGTTTAGTGATTGTGCTATGGTGGAGGTTTCAGGTATTGTATGTGGGATCCTAGTGTGTGCTAAGTAATTTGAGAAGTTAACATATCTGCACTTAGGATTTCCTAAGATTCTGTAAGCACGAAAAAATCAAATTGACTAAAGTGATTTTAAAATAATTTGACTTCAGAGAAACTAAAAAAATTCTCAAATCTTAACCTATTGTGTGTTTATATTCTTTCAAGGAATAAAAGGTATAAAATAAGCATTCATAATTATTGTAAATCATATTTTAAAGGATACCAGGATTATTATCAATTACTTAAAAGTATATCTTAAATCTAATTTAAATAACCATTTATTAACAAACTTACATAATACTAATCTATTGATCAAACTTTGTTTCCCAATTAAACTTTGTCAGTTTACTTGGAAGATTTTAACTTCCTAGAACTTCTCAGTGGTTGGCTGGAAAATCAACAAGTCTCAAAGCTATTTAAACTGTTGAACTCTATAATTCTACTTTACAAAAAGACTCATCAGGGTTTTTAAAAATTTAGACATTCTGGAAATAATATTCCACAGAATTGTCAAGCCCCTGGTTTTAAAGTTACTCTTTTAAATATTGGACAAGTCATTTCATGGTGATTTTAATGAAAAAAATTAAAAATCAGAAAGCCAACTGTTCATTATATTTTTACCTCAAAGTAAGAAGAAAAAAAAGGTGAACAGACGGTCTAGGAGATACTTTGATGACACTCAAGAAAGTTTTCCAGAAAGTCAGTTCAGTGGATTAGATCAACCCATGAAGGAGCTCTATAGAAAGAGCTAGCAAAGGGGGAAAAGATACATGCTGAATACCATTTTATTTTATTTTTTTTATTTTTTTTATTATTTATTTATTTATTTGAGAGAGAGAGAATGAGAGATAGAGAGCACGAGAGGGAAGAGGGTCAGAGGGAGAAGCAGACTCCCTGCTGAGCAGGGAGCCCGATGTGGGACTCGATCCCGGGACTCCAGGATCATGACCTGAGCCGAAGGCAGTCGCCTAACCAACTGAGCCACCCAGGTGCCCCCCTGAATACCATTTTATTACAAATTTTAAAAATAAAAATAAGTAGAAGGAAAAATTCCATTAGTTTTTTTTTTTTGGTTTTATAGAACTTCAGAATAATTTGTTGCAATCTTATAATACATGTTCAGTGTCACTAATAAAGTCACTAATAATATGTATATTCTACATAGGAAAGAGTCATTACTGTCCTATGTAAATAAGTATTTGAGTTTTTATGCTTCAAAGTTATGTAGGAAAATGATAGTATTTAAGAACAAATTAGGAATGCAGTTATTGAGATACGATGCTAATTCTTTCTGGTGGCTAGGATAAACTCAGGCAGAAAGCAGTTTCAGTAGATGAAGTTGCTGAAATGTTCATTTTGTAAATGTACTATGATAGCTTCTCAAAGCCTCATTTTGATACATTTCTATGTCAGTTGCACACTCATTGGCCCTATCAGATATGTTGATCGGGATGTTATCAGATTCAGGTTGTAACTGTCAGAGCTGTGAGTAATTTAGTATTCTCTAGGAAGTTTGGGAGGAAAGAATCCAAACAAGTAAACATTCCTTTTTTTCTTAATGTACGATGGGAGCATTAATTTTGCTTATATCTAAGGTTTACCTCATTTGGAAGATTAGAGTACATTTGTGATCATTTAAAACCATTTCAGTGGCTCTTGTAATAATTCATTCAGTCTGTGCTCTCTTAAGAAATTTTACAAAAAAACTCATGGCAAGTTAGTATCATTTGTGTGTGAATTTTCCAATTGTATTTCAGACTTTAAGAAAGAAAGGCCTTAATGGTTGTGAGAGCCCTGATGCTGACGATTACTTTGAGCACAGTCCACTCTCGGAGGACAGATTCAGCAAACTAAATGAAGATAGTGATTTTATTTTCAAACGAGGCCCTGTAAGTACTTTTACTTTACCTCTACTTTTTATTTGTTGATCCTTTTTGTTAACTTCATTATATAGGCTCTGAACAAGAAGGAACACAGAGGGTGCGACAGCCCAGACCCTGATACTTCCTATGTGCTAACTCCACATACAGAAGAAAAATATAAAAAAATTAATGAGGAATTTGATAATATGATGCGGAATCATAAAATCGCAGTGAGTACTAAAGTATGGTTTGTGCTTTTATCTTGTGCATGAAGAGATTGGCTACACTTCTTGTTTATTTTCACAGTGGGTGATGATACCAATAAGTAGAAGGGGAAAAAATTTCATTAGTTTTTTTGTTGTTGTTGTTGTTTTATAGAACTTCAAAATAAATTTGTTGCAGTCTTATAATAATACATGTTCAGTGTCTTTAACATGGAAGTGAAGAGAAAACATCCTAATCTAAGATCTCCTGTACCTTTGGATAGGGTGCATAAACCCCTCCTGGATTCCAATTTTTTCATCTGTAAAGTGAATGAGTTGGCTTACATAATTTTTAAGGTCCCTTCTAGTTCTAAATTTCCATGATTGTAAATATATAGGGTGCGTATAAGATTTCCCTTTCCCTCTCATGACTTTTAAAAAATTTACATGTACGTAAACAGATCGTGAGACTATAAAATATAAAATGGTTAGATTTATTAGAAAATTTGGTATTTCAGAATTATTTTTAATTATTTTGTATAGTTGCTGTAATAGTAGTAGCTTACTCTTTGTTCTTTGTAAATGTCCCAAAACTATTTGGCAAAATACCTCCAAACTCCTTTTCTTTTCTTTTACTATAGGTATTGAGGAAGAGAGCCTTGGCTTGATACTAATTTAAGGACGCAGTGTTCTTAAACTGGTTGTAAAACAAATAGTTGGTTTAAAATTTTCTTATGCTCATACATCTAACCGTCATGAAAACCAGTACTTTTTTGAGTTCATGCTTCTTTGATAGTTCTTCAAAGAGTTCTCACGGGAAGCTCATTGGCAAGAGCTGCTTAAAACAGCTATTCTGCATCTGATTTTCTAATGGCTGTATCTGTATTGTAGGCTTCATGGAACAAATTGGTTCCACTGCTGATATTTATCTCATTGTCGGAGTTAATTCTCTTAAAAACTATGCCTTGAAGTATGCTTCATGGATTATCTCTCCAAAGGAGTACTTTACTATAAGAAGCTCATGAAAAATATAGATTTAAGGAAGTATTTCTGTGCTAATACCTTTATAATTCTTTAAAAAACACAATAGCAAACAAAATAAAATCCCTTCTGACCTCACATGGATGTTGGTGACTTTGTAGTAAATGTTAAGCTGCATAATATTGTGTAAATAAAATTGCTTTACCTTTGAAAAAAATTTTATCATATATCCATTGTTTTATATCAGCTAATGAATAATTTTCTTTCTGAAATAAACTATTGAATAGGGTACATAAACTATATTCTTCCAATTTTGAATTAGCAGTGTTACTGCTCTTTGCAATCACTGTTTTAAAATATGGGGAGAGGAAAGCTTTTTTCTTTCTCTATAATGGAGCTGTTATAAAGAGAACTGTTATTTTCATGGTTAATTAAATATATTATATGTGGTCTATGGAGGAAATACAAGAAGAAATAGCAAATATTATTTTAAGGGGGTGTAGAATATTTAGGAGGGAAGTAAGATAGCATTTATAATTGTAATTTAATCTTCATACAATTTAAAAATAAGTTGTCAGTGGTTAATTTTATTGTTTAGATGGTTTCTTTGCATTGTGTTGTGTATATATGACTTGATTTTTTTTTTTAAGTTTTGTCCATTAAGAATGTCAGTCAATTAAATCAAACTAGGGCTTACTTATATTGTCCCACATTTGGTGTATTATATTTATAATATGTGTACATATTTTTCCCCTTTTGTTATATTTGTAATCTCTCAATAGAAATGTAATGTTACTAAACTGGTTTGGATTATTAAGAGTGCTAATTTTATGCTTACTTGGTAACAATGGTATATTTTGTAATGTCTAAATCTGACAACACTAATAATCAGGTTCTGACATCTAATTTTCATCTCCAAGAATATTTGAAATATATATATATATTTATACATTATAGTAGTATATATGTATTCATATATAAAAATGGAAATTGAAAAGGTTATGTCAACATAATCATGTTCAAATATAATTGTAAAGAAAGCAACTTAAATCTGCCAATTGATTTAGTAAGAAACTATCCCCATCCTCTACTTTTAATAACTGGAGTTACCTTATCAAATTAAAGTTCATAAGTTATTACATTTAATATAGATGAAAATGAAACTAACAGTTTTCTCTCTCTTGTTCTTTATTTACAGCCTGGTTTGCCACCTCAAAACTTCTCAATGTCTGTCACAGTTCCTGTGACCAGCCCTAATGCTTTGTCCTACAGTAACCCAGGGAGTTCACTTGTGTCCCCATCTTTGGCTGCCAGCTCGACATTAGCAGATTCAAGCATGCTGTCTCCGCCTCAAGCCACATTACACAGAAATGTATCCCCTGGAGTCCCTCAGAGACCACCAAGTACTGGCAGTGCAGGTACGTAGTGGCCTCTCTTCTGGTTCTTTAAGGAAAAGAATTGTTAACATAAGCAGTTTCTTATTTTGCTACCCTTTAATGTTCTGTCTTTGATGAGCAAGAGTCACTGCTACATAATTGGCTCCATTTTAAAGAATATTTTTGAGGATTTACTGTGGCGTTCTAATATCCTCTCGGGCACAGTGGAATGATATACAGAATCTGCTGTCTATAACTTTCCTTATCATGGGAGAGCCATACTTTGATAGGCAGAAAATTTAATTAGAATATCATGAGCAAAGATTTAAAAGTTCGAGTGTGAGTTACTCATGTCAGAAATACAGAGAATAGATGTACCTGATTTAAAAGTTCGAGTGTGAGTTACTCATGTCAGAAATACAGAGAATAGATGTACCTGCTTGGAGTTAGAGTTCATGAATTCAGAAATGTGCAGTGCATTTACGGCTTTACTCTTTGTAATGCAGTGTCTCCTCTCCTTTAAGTCCTAGATTTAATAGTACTCCATTAGCACTGTCCCCATTCTTATTAATATGTACTATTTGATATTGATACAGAAAGGCATTTGCATCCAGAGCTTGATAGGTGAGCTTTTATATATACATTTAACTACATCATATTACACAGTAATGCCAAATTCAGTCTAGGCTAGTTTTTATTTTTGTTTTTTAGGAAAGGAGTGCAGGTTACTTCATTCAGATAAGGAGAACCAATTCATGTTCATTTTTTGCCCTCTCTTTTCTCTCTCTCAAATTTTTAGGTGGGATGTTGAGCACTTCAGACCTCACAGTGCCAAATGGAGCCGGGAGCAGCCCTGTGGGTGCGTGAATTACTCCTGTTTTACTTCGTAGGCATCTATACTATCTGAGATAAAAGGAATATTGTCCCTCAAATAAGGCCTTTTACCAAATGAAGAGAAAAAAATGGGTATATGACCAGAGTAGACATGTCCCCTTGTAGACTTAATTTTCTTCTGAGGGGTACTTTTACTAGTACTTAACATTTTTTAATAACAGCCCTGCTCTGTTCTTTATGCCTTGGCCTTGAGTGCCTCCTTTATAGCAGATATTGTTCTTTGCTAAAGATGAAATTGCCTTCATACAGTTTTTACATCAAGTCAGTTTCTTAAGGGGAAGCTTTCTGTATCATCTATTCTCACCAAAGTTAGATTGTTAGCAGACTGATACATCTTATAATAGTATGAAATGTTTTTAGAGAGGTTGCAATACAAAGAAATGGTGGGCCTACTTCTAGAGCTACAAAGATTTTGTTGAGAAGTTTGTCTTCAAAGGATCTGTTTTGGTGGCCACATGTAAAACATTCCCATTTTGTCACAGTTATAGCCAAATTGGTTTTGTTTTTGTTTTGTTTTTTACTTTGGGGTCCTTTCCAAAGATGACTAGCAAGTTTAAACACATGTTGTAAATATGTCTGCCCAACCTTGAAGTGCTGGCAAAGATACACTATGAACTGAACATGACAAAAATATGGCATGTATGTCAAAGAGTTATAAGAATAACTGTATTCCTTTGGATTATCATCACATTAAGTGGTCTTGGTCTTTTAATCTGTGATAAATACAGTTGTCATCATTGTATCTGAAAACAAGGGCAGGAATTTCCTCCCTGATTTTAGATATTGTGTGTTCCTGGAGACTTTGGAACACAGATCACTTCTAGGAAAAATTCACAATTGCATGTATTCAGCCCATTCATTCTATAAAAATGTAAGGAGCTTCTGCCTCAAGAAAATTGTAAAGATGATTGAATAACTTAATTTAAGATGATGAGAAAGAAACAGATATTGCTGAGACAAGTTTTAAAATATAGTGACCTAAAGTAGGATAGATGCCTAATTATGTCTGCCACGTATTAATTGCTCTTTGAATGGAATTAATTTTATGAGATCCATTGTAGGATCCTTTTTAACATAATTAATTGTGGAAAATTCGTAACTGTCTTAACAGTTATACAGTAGGCTGCTATACTTGTATGTGTATTTCCAAATATTTATAGTTTATTTCAACTCCATTTTAGTTATCTGCATGCCCATATACATACTTTTTGTGTTAAATTTTCCCATATGTTTTTACTCCCCCAGTACTGTCCATCTTACTTTGCCTTCTGCTTCCTAGCCTAGTTAAGACTAGAAGCAAAAATTTCTATTTCATTTTATGTTAATTGTAACTAACTCTTGGTTTGTTTCCAAAATTAGTTTTATTTCATGGAGTTTAACTCTTCGAAGATTTCTAATGTGTTTTCCCCTTGCCTTTACTTTTTTTCCTCCTTCTGGCATGTCGTGAACATGGTTCTTCCTCCTGTCAAGCAAGTGTTTCAATTCTCATTTTTTTTTTCTTGTACTTTCCACACCTTACTGTTTTTTTCTTATCTGCCATGCAACTGTAAATCTAGACTTTGTCTCTGCTGCTTGGTTTTTCTGTGTTCCCTTTGGTAATTTGAAACTCAGACTTTGTCATCATTCTAATTTGACCTTCTGCATATAACCCTGTTCCTTTTTTTTTCATTCGGTTTTTTTTTTTTTTTTTTTATAAGCCTCCTCTCCCTATCGTGACCCTCATGTTTAGAGGGCTGCATAATCACACTCCTCAGATCATGGCACATCATCATCATCATTGGTTTATATAAAGCATCTCAGTATGCTGTGCATTAATCCTTTTTATACCTTGCTCTTCCATTCCCATGCCCTTCCTCAACCCCCCATCATAGGCAACTACTTTAATGTGTTTAGTGTTAATAGTGTTAATAATCATGATTAGTGAACATCAGTTTCTATTAAAACTTAAAATTCAAGTAAGTATTAAAATATTTTAAGTGCTTAAAGGTTTTATTTATTGAGAGAGAGAGCATGAGTCGGGGGGAGGGAGAGAGATAAGGAGCCTCCCCGCTGACCTGCTGAGTGGGGAGCCGGACATGGGGCTCGATCCCAGGACCCTGAGATCACAACCTGACCCAGAGGCAGACGCTTAACCGACTGAGCCACTCAGGTGCTCCTTGAGTGAGTTGTTTAAAAGTCTGTTTCCATTATTATGTATACACAGAGATAAATCCTGCTTCTTAGGGTACACACCTCAACATCTCATAACACATCAAGATTGGATGTCCTGATTCTTCATTGGTTCATACTCATACATGCATATTTACCTATACTACGTGTAATTCTACTTAACTTTACTTGTTTGGATTGTATTCTAAATGGCGTGTGTATTATAACTGCTTTTTAACAGAATTTAGACTTAACTGAATAGACCTTTTATGTCACTTAATTCAGATACCCCACTGGAAGCAGTTATTTCTCTGAAATACTTAGAGCATACATGGGTTTAACGTGTTTCTTAGTATAAATTTTCCCTAAAATGATCTGTCATGGGTATTTTAGAAATGCTATTTTTGTGAGGAAGAGTCAGATAATATATGTTAGCTCATTTTCAACAATGGTGCCATTTTGGTTTAGTAGTTTGGAAAAATAGTTTAAACTCATTATTATACCCAGATATACTCTTTATGAATGAAAAGATTAAACAGTCTAAATTCCCAGAGAAATTTAGAGGAAAAAATATTAAAACGTTATGAGAATGATTTCTAATCTATACTTTTCAAGATATGTTTCTTGGAACTGTATGAAAAGAAGGATTTATCTATGTTTGGTAAGGCTTGCGTTAAATAAAACTAAACAGGTTTCTTCACTGTAGGACTTACTGGAGCCTTTAAAATGCTAATCTATTTTGTGAATCATTAAACTTAGTATATAACATATGGTTACACAAAGTTATTGCATAATAGAACCCTTCATTTTTTTTCTCATGAAAAAGCATCTTTCATAATTAGTATCATATAAAACATTTTGGAAAATCTTGCTTCTGATCTTAAGGTGATACATAGAGTTTTTGAATAATGAAACCTTCCATAAATGAAATTAAAATTGAGGTTTAAAAAAAGACAAGCAAGACAATTAGTCTTGTGCTGTGATAATAGCAGACCTGGTCATTGGGACCAACCCTTCTGCTGAAGACACCTACAAATGCTAGGCAAAATATTTTTAAAATCTGCTTGAAAGCATTTGAGAACTAATAAGATAATGAAGAATACCTGGCTCAAGATCCAGGAAATGATGGAGAACAGAGCCTTGAAGAGGGTGAGCCCAGCATTTATGACTGCTTTTCCTCAGGTGGTATTTGCCACTTCCTCAGTGGAATAGGACAGCCTCAGAGACCTAAGGGGATAGAGAGGTCAGAGTTCAGGGCCCACAAAGAATTGGGAGGGTCCAGTGTGCTCCTGTCACTTTGTTTTGGGTCCCCAAAAGGCAGGACCATAGAAGTAGAGTGAATCAGAGGGTAATAGCCCCTTGCGGTAGCTATAGCTAACGTCTGCATCGTCCCCCTTCTTGACGTAAGAGTGTGGTCATCTACACTTAAAGTACAGAGTAAATATTCTTTCCAGTATCTGTGTTCTTTTTTTTTTTTAAGATTTTATTTATTTATTTGTCAGAGCATGAGCAGGGAGGAGGGGCAGAGGCAGAGGGAGAAGCAGGCTCCCCTATGAGCAGGGAACCCGATGCTACATGTAAATGTAGCATATTGTGCTACGTTAATAAGAGTTTTTAAATAAATACATTGATTTGATTTGATTTTTTTTAAAGATTTTATTTATTTGAGAGAGAGAGAGAATGAGAGATAGAGAGCACGAGAGGGAAGAGGGTCAGAGGGAGAAGCAGACTCCCTGCTGAGCAGAGAGCCTGATGTGGGACTCGATCCCGGGACTCCAGGATCATGACCTGAGCCGAAGGCAGTCGCTTAACCAGCTGAGCCACCCAGGTGCCCTAAATACATTTGATTTTAAAAAGGAATTATAAACCCCAAATGTGGGGGCGCTTTTAAAATTGTAAGAGGATGTAATGTACATTGTATAGGAGTTATACTATTAATTTCTAAATCTAGAGAGAAAAAAATTCGCACACACAGGACCCTGGGATCATGACCTGAGCCGAAGGCAGTCACTTAACTGACTGAGCCACTGAGGCGTCCCATGTGTTCTTTGTATTAAAAAAAAAAAAATGTTCTTTGTGTCCATAAAACTAAAAATTGATCACATGCTGGGCCACAAAAAAAGTATCAACAAATTTCAGAGAATTTAATCACATGGAGATAAGCTCTCTGGTGACAAAATATTTCAGCCAGCAACCAATCTCCAAAGACCCTTGTTTAAAACAAATTTTTTATACATAATCTGTATAATAACTTTTATTTTGTCAGTCCAGGTTTAGAGACGTGTCATGAGCCACTTCCAGATAGTTTCGCTTAACCTTTAAACTGTAACATATTTACTGATACTGTAATTTTCAAATGCATAATATTTTTATAGATGAGCCCTCCATTAGTCTTATTTTAATTTTTGTTGAGTCTTCTGCTTCCCAAAAGATAGGATATTTCAGGCCCAAGTAATAGGGAAAGCAGAAGCATCCTTGAGGTTTTTAAGCATTGAACAAACTCAGAATAGGGAAAGACATGTTAAATAGGAAACGAGAGGAAGCCTAACCACAAAAGAAAGATTGATTTGCTTGTGTAAAATTAGGAATCTTTGTTCATCAAAAACACCATGAAGAGAATGAAAAGGCAAGACAGAGTGGGAAAATGTAGATCATATACATATAGTGAACAGGGGGCTTTTTATGAAGAATACTTACAGATCATCATGAAAAAATCGATTTTTTAAAAAGATTTTATTTATTTATTTGACAGAAACATAGCGAGAGAGGGAACACAAGCAGGGGGAGTCGGGGAGAGAGAAGCAGGCTTCCTGCCGA